GGGAACGACGTGGCGACGATTGAGACCGATGTGCCCGAAGTGGTACCCAAGATGACAGCTGCGGATGCCGGAGACACTGCCATGGCAACGGTCGAGGAGGGCACAGACTTCGATCTGGACGGAGATGCACAGACCGAGAAAAAGGTTTTGGATATCATTAACGTGATCATGGCCGTGGCAGAAGTGGTCAAGGAGAGGCCGTCGCCATTGGAAGAGGTGTTCCGACGCATCTTCAAGGACAAGTCGGAGGCTGAGGCCGCGGACTTGCATGCCAAGATGCAGCGCCTGGGCGATTCGATGATCGACAGCCTGGTCGAATCGAGTGAGGTGTCCAACATGAACACGGTAAAACGCATCCGTATCGTCCAGTTGCTCGTGTCGACCAACCCGGCGATTCTCACCATCTCCAAGGCAAAGTTGCTTCTGCCTTACCTGAAGGCCGCGCAGACCTCCGAGGAAGTCCAGATCATGGATCTGCTTCTTCGCATCTTCCGATCCTGTCTGCCGCACATGCCGCGTACGGCACTGGCGTTTGCCGAGGCGCTCGAGAGCAGCCTTAAGCCACTTGTCAACCGACCTCCGCCAAAGGCTGGGCTGCATCTGCTTCAGGAGCTCATCGCATGCTACTGCGCGGTGATCACCATCCACACGCGAAACTTTCGTCTTCTGATCCAGACGCTCCGAGCTTGCTTCGTGCGAGTTCAGTCGATCCGAAATATGGCCATCAGAGGTCAGCGGGTAGAGGACAACAAAGCGTGGAACACTCTCATGTCGCTCACAGCATCTTTGTGCGAACATGCCGACTTTGACGGCATGCGAAAGCGTCATCCCGAGACCGCTGCGGACCTCGACACGCTCAGCAAGCGGCCGTTGGTTGACGTTATCTCTGAGGCACTGCTTGACATCCATAAGCACGGGAGCGAAGCGGTCCGGTCCGTGTCGCTACAGAACCTCGGCTTCATCTTCCGTGCCCAACCGACGCTGATGACGAGACCGGCCATGACTTCGATGATGGACAAGATCTTTGCACAAGGCTCTCTACAGGATCGCGCCACCCTGCTCAAGATCATCCTCGACTTTCTCAGCGCCGATTCGGCCCGCCGCAATCCAGATCAGACCGTGGTCACTGCCGGCACCGGTCGGCGCAAGCCCGAGGATCCGAATGCAAGCAGCGTCGACATGACCGTACTCGTGGGCAATACTGAGACATTTGCGGATACTGGTGTCGGATCCGCCATGATGCAGCGGTACTCGGAGGACGTACTCAAGGCAACGCTCGAGGTGTCCAATCCGGCTTTGCAGCGTACAGCCATCGACATTCTGCGCTTTACGGTGCTGCAAGGCCTGTCGCATCCGATTCAATGCGTACCTTATCTCGTCTCCCTCGAGACACTCGATGACCGCAAGATTCGCAGCCGTGCCCTCGAGCTCCACAGCCATCTCGCCTCGAAGCACGCGTCACTCGTCCAGGCTCGCTTTATCGAGTCGGCACGCTTTGCGTTCCAATTCCAGCTTGGGCTCAAGGGGAAAGGCACCATCCGTGGCTACCGCGCGGACGGCACACCCTCGGCCATGCTCGATGCTTGGTATGGTTTGTTGAGAGATCGACGTGCAACTCGTCTCGACTTCCTCAAGCAAATTGTCAAGGCGCTTGATGTCAACACAGCCGCCACCGATTGCACTATGCAGGAGGTGCTCTTCGCCCGCTTCATTGCGGACAACTTGGCAACGCTCGACTACAAGACAATGGAGGAGCTTTTCATCGTGATTGGCGAGCTACGTTCAATCTTGGCGGTGTCGGGAATGCAGGTGCTCTACATGAGCCAGACGCATCTGCCGCAGGTGGATAATGCGGCAACAGCAAATCTCGATGAGGGCGCTCGAACTCGAACTCCCCCGCCGACAATGGGTTCGACATTTGCCAATGACTTGATCAGCCCGATGGGCATGGCTCGCAATCCTTGGCTGTCTGGCGAATGGCAGTTGGAGCTAGCATCGGACACCGGCTCGTCTATGGGACCATCGACGTCGCAGACAATCGACCCGAGCCGGCTTTTCGCCGCAACTATGGGAACGCAGGATACCATCATGTCCAGTCAAGTCTCAGGTGTCCTGCGTCCGGTTCCACAGGCTGAAACGAGCGACAGCGTTCAGCCGGGCAATAGCAACATCAGCGTCGGTCCTGTTGAAGCAGCGCGAATGTCGGTGATGGCGGGCACAGCGCTGCTTCTGCGAAATCATCTCAAGCACCTGTACGGCCTGAGCGAGGCACGCTGTGCCAAGTTCAACCCAACCAAGAAGCAGAGTGCCGGCGCCGACAAGCCAGCGACAATGCGGAGTCTCGCAGATCCGATGCAGGCGGCGCTCGACCTGTCTTCGATGCCGGCTGGTCTGATGTCGATCGACAATGAAGACGAGGCACTGGCGCAGATGAAGGCTTATACCCAAATGGTGGAGAACGAGGGCACGATGATGGAGCCCGAAGACGCAGAGATGTTCGATGATCTTGCACTCTGAATGCATTCAGTCTTTTACTATGCGGATTCGAGCCGTGCGTCTTGGCGTCTCACTGCCAACTGGTAGGCGACCAATGAATTTGCCCCTTTCCACTCACTCGACCAAATTCAAAACTTTGGCTCTGAACTTGTAAGTCATCCAGCTGATGCTTTGCTTCGACGAAACACGAGACTGCACGGGAGCGCATCGCCAATCAATCGACGTTTCATACAGAGCAAGATCCGTCACGGAGCTGCTAAATGTGTCAAATTTTGGGTTGGTGACAATGCAGGATCAGTGTGTTGTGACCCGGACCGGATAGCTACACTGCAAGTTTGGGCGAGTCATGACTACAAGAGTGGCGCTGTGGTGTGTTGGGTTGCAAAAAGAGAGGCGTGGTGTAAAAACTGGTGGTTTCCTTTGATTTACTTCTTCTTCTTGACCTGACGAACGGGGGTTGCGAGGAGGTCGATGAGTTTTTGGTCCTTGAGCTCTGTGGAGGGCTTGAGCTTGTCGTCGGAGGCCCAGGTGGGTGCCGGGGTGATTCGGATGGCTCCCTTGGGGCTGATTGCGACAGTGAAGAAGACCTGTGCAGTGATGGCCTTCTTGTCGGTGTCCTCGAGGACGTGGAAGGGGGTGAGAAGGCCGTGCTTCCAGCACTCCTGGACGCCGACCTTTGCTTTTCGCTCATCCTCGAGGATGCGGACGTTCATGGGGAACGAGCCGGCCTTCTTCTGGATCTCGGAAAAGACCTTTCGGGAAGTCTGAAGCTTGAGGAGGTAGGTAGCAGCAGTCTTGCGGTAAATGGTGGTCTTGGACTCGTCGGAGCGCGTCTTGGCGTCGGAAGAGGTAGTGACCGAGATGTCGACACCGTAGACCTCGTCCTCCTCGAGCTTGACAGTTTCGGGTCGCTGGCCCTGCTCGGCGTTGAGGACGATCTTCTTCTTGCCGTCGATCTCGTTCTTGCCGAACTGGTTGGTCTGCATACCTTCAACGGCCTTGCAGTTGAACTGCTTGATAGCCGACTCGATCTCCTTGGAGACCTCGCTGTTGAGAACACCGGGCTTCATGACGCGGATAGCGACCTCGGCGGCAACCATGGCAGCCTTGATGGCATCGGCGGCACGGCCATCGACTGGAGCAGAGGCATCAGCACCGACGACGAAGGTCTCGGCAGAGACGGCGGGCAGGCCGTCGATTTGGACACCGAGCTGGACCTTGACGACATCGCCCTTCTTGAGCGCGACCTTGTCCTGGTCGGTGGGGAGAGGCGAGTAGTTGCAGACCACGTTGTTGATGGAGAGGGTGGTGGGGAAAGCGACGCCTTTGTTGATGGACTTTCCCTTGAAGACGGTCGAGGTCTCATCGAGGATGACCTTGTCACCGAGCTCGCAGAGCTCGAGGACGGTCTTGCCCTCGGTGGCAGCAGCAATTACGGCCTTGATCGCCTTGGCGCCAATCTCACCGGCGATCTTGTACTTGTTCAGGCTGTCGCCGAACGTCTCCTGCTTGGGAGCGGCAGCAGCGGCTTCCGTAGAGGACATTTTGATGTAGATACTGGTGATTCCGGAGCTTCGAGCTTGGAAATCAGGAGGGAAGAAAGGTGTGTGGAGAGAGGAGATTGAAAGGAGGAAGAATAGTGTGAGCTCGTACGAAAAGAAAAAAGGGAGGTCCGTCAGTCCGTAACCTACGTCTGACAGGGCAGGCATGCAGTCATGCGCACAAGCACGACGCAAGAAAAAATCTAAAAATCCTGGAAGAACGCAGAAAGTCGACACAACTCATTTACTCTACAGTCCAGTACTGTAGCTGAAATCCAATTGCTGCCAACTCGTGTGAGGGGATCTGCAAGTCCATTTTACGCCGCTACAGTAGCTGCTTTCAGCTCTACGCTGTTGGCCTGCCTTAAAGCCCTTCAACCCACATACGATACTGTACTGTAGCAGCTATGAGCGAGATGCAGACCACGGCAAGTGAGACTCGACCGGCAGGTCACGCCAGACACTGACATCAGAATGCACCCACCCTCGCCTGAACTCGAAGCATGCTTGCTACTGTAGCGACACAATTTCGAGCCTTTATGCGCAGTAAACAAGGACACTCGCGTCAACTTCACTGCCAATCCACAATTGCTCGAGTGCACAGTGAGCCGCGTCGTGCTTCATCCTTCAACATGCTGTGGCAAAGGTTGCATACTACGTTTAGTAAGTCTGAGCTGCGTTGTGGTTGAGTCTGCCTTGCTCGACAATGTTGCTGTACGGTCAAGCAAGCCGTTTATGCCGTTACCGGCAGGGCTGAGGCTGGTGTTGTGTACTCAAGTCTCGCATAGCCGGCGCCTGTGCGGAGCAGCCGCACCAACCTACATGCGGAACGCCTGCGAGGTGCTCGAGAGTCTTACAACCCATTGATGCCTCGATCACCATGCATGGTAATATTCTGATTCTACATTCAGGGCCAGATTTTATCAGTTATTATAAACAATCAGTTATTCGTAGCGCAAGCAAGCCTCGTTAGCGTAGTTGGATTATCGCATCCGTCTAATACACGGTGCCTCAGTATTGCCTGGGATTACAACGGAAGGTCACTGGTTCGAGCCCAGTACGGGGCAGTTTCTTTTTTTTCCTTCTGATAGATTTTTTTTCCCACTAAGTCTCCACCTCATACTCAGCATCCATTTTGGAACCAGTCCTTCAGAATCATATATCTTTCCTACTTGTGCCACAAAGAGAACGAAGAGTCAAATAGCTTGTTAACGGGTATACACATTGCCACACACTTTTCACGGAGAGAAGACAGCCTCGTGCTACTTTCAATGGACGCGAGCGGGCAGGATCGGATGCTGAACCTAGGCTCTGAAAACCTTGAGAGGAAGACCGCCCTGAGGCTTCATGGTGATGAGTGCATCCATCTGCGGATCCTGTTCCTTGCTGATGGGCTCGAATCGGAAGTTGGCAACGAGGATGCAGAGAACGGCCTTCATCTCGAGGTAGCTCATTGTTCTTCCGATGCAGCTATGGGCTCCGGCGATGAAGGTCATCATCGAGAAGGTGCGGTCGTACTTTTCGGGCAGGTTGAACCAGCGCTCTGGCTTGAACGAGTCGGCGTCTGGGCCCCAGACGTCGGGGTGTGTGTTGATGGCCCGATTCGGGATGGGTAGGATGGTGCCCGCTGGCACATAGACGCCGTCGATGTAGCTCGACTTTTTCGCCTGTCGAACGGTGCGCGGCACCGGTGGGGTCCAGCGCATAGTCTCGTTGATCACCGCGTCCAGATAGGCGAGACCCTTGATGGCCGAGTAAGGGGGTCGCGCATCCTGATCCATCAGCTCCTTGCACTCCTTGTGCAGTTTTGCCTGGGCTTCGGGATGGGTGGCCAGATTCCACAGAGCCCACGATACACCCGAGGCGGTCGTCTCGTGTCCCGCACCGAGGAACGTGAGCACCTGCGTGATCATGTTGCGCTCGGCCTCCTTGAGGCTCTTTGCCTTTCCGTCATTCTCCGAGAGGTACGTCTCTTCGATGATGTCGATGATGGCCTTGAATCCACCGGTCTGCGTCGCTCGCTGGCCCGAATTGAGCTGCTTGTACAGGATCTCTTTCGACACCTTCTTGATGCGGTGCATCCCGTTGAGCAGCTGCGCCAGCATTCGGAAACCACTCTGCGGCTTGGTGCGCTTGATAAGCCACTCAAAGTTGCTCACGTCGGATGCCCAATCAAGCATAGTGTCGCCGAACGGCAGGTTGAGAAGAATGGAAAGTCGAACCTGGTTCTTGCCATTCTGCATACTCGTTACCGAGTGGTAGGCCGAGGCCAGCTCGTTGTTGGGGTTGTTGAGCGAATCTGCGTTGTATCCAAAGGCAGTGAGACAGATGATGTCAAGAAGCACCTTGTTGACGTAGTTGTCGCAGTCGATCACCACAAAGTCGTCTTTGGAGACCTCGACCTCCTTCTTCATTTTTTCAACGAGAGGGTAGGTCTTGTCGTAGTATACGGGGAACTGCTCGATCAGGTTGGTGAGCGAAAAGGCAGGGTTCATGGTCTTGCGCATCTTTTTGTGTGTGTCTCCCTCCACGGTCAGCAGACCATAGCCAGCGACGACACCCAGCAGCTTCCAGGCGAAGCTAGGCTTGGGATAGTTGTAGGGATCTTCGACGAGGATCTGACGCAGCGCCTTGGGGCGCAAAAAGTGGATGGCCGGTCGACCAAAGAGGAAGTAGGTGCGGAAGTAGCCCTGCTTCCCGTACTTGCGTGACCATTCCATGTCGACCAGCGCACCTGGTTTGGAAGCTGCTTCGATCATGTTGCCAACGAATGGCTTACATTCGGGCCCGGGAATATGACGCAGTGGGTCTAGATACTTTGGATACAGGGTGGTCTTGAAGTAGATCCATCCTACTCGCAGAGCAACAAGAACAGTAAAGGTGGCCACCAGCGAGAGGGCAATGGCTGTCGGAGAACGAGGAGCATGGTGGTAGAGGGTACTCGTCAAGCGCCCGACGACTGAGTCCGAGTACAGCGACGATGAAGCCAAATTGATCCGCATTTCGTATCAAAAGCTAAGGTTGGTGGAGGCCAGAAGCAAGGCGGGAGATTTTAGGGCGCAGCCCGTGATTCGATGACTTCGGGAAGCAGTCTTGAGGGTTTTGCACCGAGGAAGCAGACTGGAAGGCTGAGTCGATGCACGATAGCCAAGCTCGAAAGATGACAGAGCAGGAAAGCAGATGCAGATTTAGGACAAACTGGGTAAATTGACGTTCAATATTCTACTTTGAAGCGATCGAGGTGATGGGGGAGCAAAGCAGATTAATGGCGAGTAGATTGTCTTACCCTTATACAAAGCAAGGGTCCCAAGGAGACTCTGGCGGTATGGGCCAAGGCTCAGACCGAACAGCTGCAGGAGCGGAGGTGGAAGACGAGCAGGACTGCACAGGGCAGGAACTCGCCTGCGTGGAAGATAGCGATCAAACCAGCGGAAAGGGGATACGGCGGTAACCCAGAAGTGGGCGTGGAATGCGGGGGTGGTGACCTCGGATGGTCAACTCCACAATATGCTGCATCGGTGCAACCATTAAGCGTCGCTGCTCAGCATCCACGGTCTTTGCTTCCGACAGGCGATGAAAGGCTGTATCGACTGAGCATCTTAGCCAAGTTGAGCCATAAGAGGCTCACCATAGTGCGTCTGCCGTCGCTGCCGTCACGGTACAACTCGATTTCATACTTGCGAGAGTCACGATGAAAGTTGGCGAGACCAGCCACGCCGATATTCAGATTCACGCTTGATTCGCACTCACAGACGTGCTGTACAACAACAACAAAAACCACACCACGTTTGAGACTGTAAGAAGTGGGACGAGTGAGTAGTCATGTGTCGACTATCGAGTCCAAGCCTCCTTTAGAGCACCGAGCTCGTCGGCGGTCGCTGCTCGGAGATAACTGCGATACACTTGCCGAAGGCGTGGGGCGTTGATCACTTTCACAGAACAAAAACATGGATCGGTGACAGGCTAGAGTGCTGGTGCTGGTGCTGGCTACGCAGCAATGCGCTGATGTCGATCCGCTCATGCATCCGGCTCTGGTCAGAGCATTCTTGATTTTTATTTGATACAGCTGGATATGCACGTACTAGCTCTGTTCGTGCCTCTTGTGTCTGTCTCTCTTTAGCGAGCGAAACCAACCGCGTCGGGGCGTGCAAAGCTGAAAAATCGGCATCGGCCCATACGCCGAACGTGGAACCCATCGATCGCCTCAATCTACTGTCCCGCCAGTACGGTATACAGTAGCAGTGACTCTGTGACTGCAAGCCGCCGCTCAAGTCTCCATTGCTGAGCTGAGCTGTATCAGCCTCCGTAGCAGCACTTCTGTCAGTCAGTCACACGTGTGACATGCCCAATTCGGATGCTGTCCAGCGCTGCAATCTTAACAGGCACCACTGCTCAGTCATGTACAGCAGTGCAGCTCACACTTCATTGCCGGTCGTGAGTGGGTGAGCGAGGTGTTTGGCGTCGTCGGTCGGATTTGATCCGTCACGATGAATTCTGGCCGATGAAGGTGCAGAGACTACAGCAACAGCAGCAGCAGCAGTCAATGTCCCCATCGCACGCGGGTAGCGCTGATTGCATGCTGCACTCCAGCGCTCCAACATGAGCAAGGACCCTGCGTTTCAGTTGCCAGTGGTCTGCCACTCATCATGGTGAGTAAAGTCGACCTGAGCACCAGAATGTGAAGCATCTTGCCCTGTAGTAAGCCTCCTTGTCTCTCTAGTCCACCAGCCTCTCAGGGCACAATTTCCAGGATGTCAGCAATGCTGGGGTGAAGTGTTCTGCCTACGGCAGGGTCCCAAAGCTGTTCAGTGAAATTTTCCGGTCTAACATGTTGGCTTGGAAGTCATCTGTTGCGCTCTCGTCTTCTCGTCGCCTGCTCACCATTCCCATCTCTGCCGTAGGCAAACACACATTTTAAATCTGCGAGCCACCATCAACTGTCAAAGCTCTTCTTCGACGCAGTCCGACATATACCTATAAGCACGTCCACACACGTACACTTCATCGCAGCAGAATCACATATAGAAGCTTTGGACCGATGGCGCTCACGAATCAACAGTTCCTCGAGAGTCTGGCAAAGCTCTTCAAGGACAGCACGGCCAAGCACTCGGTGTATGTCACCTCGAAACGCGCGCCAGCCAAGGCTCTTGCGGATGAGGATGTCGACATGCCCTCGTCCTCTTCAGAGGTCCGCGAGGCCGTTCTGTTCCGCGCAAGCAACGGCGTGTCCGACTCGGGCAAAGTCAAATTCAGCACGGTAGTGGCTGCCTCCAAGATGTCCTGGTTCCAGAACGAGTACGTGCCGCTCCTGCGAACGCAACTACTGGGAGCGCTCAAGAAGAAGGACCGAGCCAAAGAGAAGCAGCAGGACAAGCAGCGCGAGCAGAGCCACAAGAAGCTGGTGCAAGTAGTTGACGGCAAGGAAAAGATCATTGCCAACCGCATCGGAAGCAAACGCGGCGCCGGACGCAGAACGCGGCAGCGAGCTCTGCAGAAGGCAAAAGCATTGCGCAAGGAGAAGGCCAAGGACGCAAAGCTCAAGAGCGCTCAAACCAAATTGGCGGCGCCAGCCGCAACAAAGAGCTGAAGCCACGATGAGCCCCAAAATTGTCCACCTTGTGTATCAGTTCATCGCTCAATAACCTACTTCATGTACTTGGCAGAATCCCGTCACTGCCCCGCTTTCGAGATGCGGCTACCTACTACATGGCACAGAGATCATCGTACCCACCTATCCTCTCATGGATCATCAGCTTCGACCTCCTTCCTCTGCTTTATCGGCTGCAGCCGGCCGGAAACCACACGGGCTCTCTTTGTAGCGCTCTGTTTTTTTATGGCACATGTCTTGGAGCAACGAGGCAACAAAGCGACGTCGGACCCGGATCTCCTCCACTACAAGCATGAGCCTGTCGAGAAAAGGATGCCAGATGTTCAGAGACGGGCCATGCTTCGAGCTTCAGGCTGAACGTCATCCCTGACGTACACTTTCCCATGTAAGCAGACTAGATTGCGAAGAAAAGGACAGAACGACAGACAAGTACGAATATGACAGTGATAGCGACGATAC